GCCGCCGGTGCTGCTGGTGCAGCTTGTGGTGGTCATGGTCGTGGTCGTGGTAGTGGTGTACTGTATTGCCTGGTACTGATTTCCTTGATTACCAGGCCGGCTGTTCCAGCCCCTTCCAGGAAGTGTTTTTGGTAAGGGGGTGCAGGGAACCCTGAGCACATCTACAGACCTGTTACTGTTGCTGAGGCAAGCCCTACAACGAGCCGAGAAGGCGCCACCCGAAAGGTCATAAATGGGCAACGAAAATCTCAAATCACTAGGAGGGAATTGAGCTTTGGGCGCTAACGCCAGGAGTTCTGATCACAGCGTGTATAGTATCAAACGTGTGCTTTCAAGTCGTTGATGGCCAGATTTCCTGGGTCAGTCCCTTGTCCCCCTGTCATGGCACCAGTTCAGAAGATTTTGCTGGTTGAGCTGTGGGTCTCGTGAACCTCCAGGCGTTTGTTGGATAAGTTTGGTTGCACTGCTGCTCTCGCAAATGACTCTGATGGAAGCCTGACTGGAGTGCTTGTGATTTTGAAGAACTGGGCCTTTAGGTAAGACCAGCAGGGCCGAGGTACAAATTCATGCTGGCACATGTATGTTTGTTTGAAGCCCCCAACCCGGTCTGTCTTGGCGTCCTGTAGATTTCTAGCGGCTGCAGAGTTGATGGGGCTGTCATGCTCTCATGACTCCTAAAGCATGTGCTGGCTTGTGGTGCTAGCATTCATAAATGATTCAAGATCATCAGAAATACCATCAGAGAACAAATCTCAGGCCTCTGTCTCCGAGGAGCTGCTCAACCATGCACGCAGGCGCATGGAGGACGCACCGATGGCAAGAAAGACTCGTGGTACATCGTTGGCCCCTTTAGTCAGGGCAGCGTGATGTTGCCATACAGTACTAAAGAGAAGATTTAGATGCCTGCGGCCTTCACTTGGTCTGCTTGTAGTAGTCCTCCTGGCGCGGAGCACGCAGCCCCACCAGTCATACGCTTCTTGGGGTATGAGAAGCATGCCAATCAGGACTACAACGCTGCGTGTCCTATCACAAGGGTAGAGAATGCCCGAGCCTCCATCCTGCTCCACAGCCGCAGCTTTTCCTGCAGGAGCTACGCGAGATCTCGTGCATGGCCAAGTTGTTGCATTGTACAGGTTTCCACCCGGCAGGGTTTGCTTTGTTCCTTCAGTGCCCCTCGAGCCTTGGAACACTTCGTGGTCTGGAAGTAAATCACGTCTGCTACAAGCGTGACTGCAACGAAGTTCTGATACCTTGAGCATGCGGGTGCGTTCATTTAGTTCCCGTAAAGCTGCCAGTTTCATTGAAACTAAGGTCTACATAATGTTTCTTCCTAAGCAAAATGGGTGAGCAGCACAGGAAGGGAGAGGCGTGTCATTTTGAACAGGAGTGTGATCAAGTTCCTCAATCTTTGTAAGGCAGTTTACAGCCGATTCACATGACATCTCGCCTGATGTGACACCTGCGGCTGTTTCCAGGAAGGAACCTACATAGCTCTAGGTGGAGCCAGTGCATTTGAGAACTTGCTGCAGACATCACGACGGACCTCAAGTGTTTGTACAGCGCACGTGCCATGGCTATCACCAGCCGCCAAAGGATCGTGCTGGCTGTTCATGTTGACCTAATTACTCGAAGCTTTCCAGCCTTTTTCATGATGACTAGGTCATACTTGGTAGGAACTATAATCAAGAATAGCGCTACAAAAATGACTGGTATTCCGAGCTGTCAAGGAAGAGCCGTGCATGACATGAGAATGACTACTAAACAGTTCATCAGATCGCCACGGCAACTCTGCAGAGTGCCGCGGTGCCGCGCATCAGTCGCACTAGCACGACGTCAGGTAGCAGTTCCTTCTGGAGAGCTAGCATAGGCCAGCACATCTCTGAGCCATATCTGCGCTTGGAGGGCGATGGCAGATTTGTGACACGACATAAAAGCCTTTTCATGCCTCTTTTACAGTTCGCATGCATGTCATATCTGGGCCTTTTTTCAGCTGCTTGTGTTTTATCCGAGCACCTGGTTCTAGTCATCAGTATTCATTGTTTTTTGTATCGGCGCCTGGGAGGTAGGTCGGCGCTGCAGAGCTTGGGGCATGGGGTGGTCAGCAGATGTCAGGTCAGCTGCTGCTGCTTACGCCGTGGGCGAGCTGCTTGCCCAATTGAGACGCAAGCATTGTTGCAATCCGTAGGCGGGTGGCAAGCTGTGGCGCAGATGCAACCAGGTCAGGGGGAAGGTAGCAGCTTCGGATGGATGAGGATTTAGTGCTTTGTCATGGGCACTGCTCATGCTGAGTTTTCTCTTCATGACACTGGGAAGTTTCATATATTGTCGAAAACAGGCGACAACAACTGCCCAAATTCTAGTCCCTAGTCCTATAGTTCTGGGAGGCAGAGAACATCAGGCAACTTCTGGTTGAACTTGGGAAATCAAGGTTGTTTGTGTACTTCCCAGTGGAAACAAAGAGCTGATGTCAGGCGCCCCCTCATGCTGGGATCCAGCCACGAGCGCGCTGCTTCGGAGAGCCCCTGTGCCTGCAGGGAACGGGGGAGGTTGCATTAAAACAGCACAGCCCCAGGTCGCAGAGTAAAGTGTGTCTATGAAGCTGAAGAAGTTGACGATGGCAAGTGACCTACGTCCTGCAGCCTCCAAGTTGCCGGAAATTGGAAGTTGAAACTCCGGCAGGTCGAAGCGCATATGGTCATGATTTCTTATCATCATCTTAAGCTGCTGCTCACAGTTCCGAACCACGACCTTGCGCGGATCTTCAAGCTTGGGCACATCAATCCCACCCCCGCCAAGCGGTCCTGTAAGGAGAGGTGTCTCACAGCATGTACCTTCTGCTGCACGCCGAGATGGTGGCTTCTTTGAGGGATCCTTGGGCCTGCAATATCACAGAGGCAGGAATGCAAATTCCTGTAACGCTCGATATCCTTGCCTGCAGTTGCGTCCTATAATCTGATTTGTATATACCAACAAAGGATGAATGTCCTGGGTCCCACGTAGTTCAGAACTAAACCTCTACCGAAGATCGTATGCGCGGATGATCGCGGATGGTTTATCACATGATGTAGCAGGAGACTCCCAAGTTTGCCAGTCCCCCTTCCAGAGCACGGTGGAGATGCAAAATTTGTTGACTCCTGACACATGTTTATGTTCAGTGGCTTTACCGCGGCTGGCAACGGAAGTCCTAAGGATCAGGGGGCAGAGCACGCGGAGGCAAGAGCTGTTTGCAGTTCAATTTGATTTATGCGTTGAAAACAATCTTTCAATGTCCTTCCTGATGCAAGCGTGCGATTAATCCTACAAACCTACGACTACAGTGGATGCTTCTCGTTGTGACAAGTTGCACTTACATAGACTTACATGTTCCCAGGCATATTGGCATATTGCAGGTCTAAGCACGCCAGAGACTTATTCCATGTTGGCGGCCAAAATCCCGCTGCTACCAAGAGCCCAAATTTGGATTGAGGCCGAAACTCACAGCGAGGCATGTCTTGGACAACATGTTGAGGGATGCCCACATTATGGCTCCAAGCGGATGTGGCTCGCAAGCATCCTGTAAGCGTTGTGGCTTTGAACGTGTCAGCACCGCAAATTTGGTGAAACTGGAAGCCAGGGCTTCCGGCCGCAGCTAACCCTTCCCCAGACTTCTGGGCATGCCATCTTTCGAAGTGAAGTATAAGTAGCTCTGAAAAAAAAACTTGTCCCCTTGGCATTTCGCGTATGTGGAGAGGCCAAGCTGCGGTCAACCGGCTTCGCCACGGGCCTTAGGCGGCTGGGCTGGGTGCGACATTTCTCGGATCGCCGGGTAGGAGGTGGTTGCGATCGTAGTTTGCCGCCATTGTGTTTTGAGTGGCCAGTGGTCAGTTCTTAGTAGGCTTTTAAGCCTTCGACATGGTACAGCCTAGGACCTAGGAGTTGGGCTTCAGGGCATAGCATACAAGCAGCAAAGCTCCGAAGGCTGATCACGCGGATGACTGCTTCCAAAATTCCGATCACTACGGTCCCTCGGATGCATATCAAGCTCTTGCTGAGGGGGTTTTCCTGAATATCTGGATACCTGAAAAATGTGCTATGGGTCAGAAAGGTTGCAGATACACACATTAAAGTATTGGGTCCTTTAGACCACCCAGAGATCGAGTCATATCACAATGGGGCACCCGACACGGCGTCCTGGCATGGGAACTGGTGTTGGAGCTGTGCTGAAAAGAGCACTGCAGCCTGATTTTGCTAAGTTGTCATTGTTGTGGTTACAGAGTAGCTAAGGCTGCTCAGCAAGATTAAAGAGCAACACCCGTCCGCAACTGAAAACACTTAGCTTCAGGATGGTAACGCCAGAGTGTCAGCCGCCACAGCATTGAACATTTTCTAACATCCCCGGGCAACATGTCACGAATGCACAATGCAACCGCGAATGTTTAAGGGCGACGCGAGCTATGCCTGCAAAATGATGCGAGAACTCCACAATGTGTGCATGACTTTGCAGGAGCGAGCTGTCATGAAATTTGTCTGCAAAGACTTGCCGCTTGGCGTAGAAGCAAGGGACTGCGACAACTGTTGGATCCCAAGTTCTGAAGTGAGTCTGTCTTCATGCATCCCCGATTCTAGATCTGCAAGCCTAACTGTCACAGGACGGCATGATTCCTTCCAATCTAGCCCCAAGCCAACGGCATGTTTTGCAAGAAGCCCCTTCTGCGAGAGTACCTGTTTAACAGGGCAAGATAGTACTTCGTTGAGCCAGCAGAAAACAAAAGATCTGAGACATTGAAGCCTGAACGGCTCAAGGTGGACCTATCTCTTCAACAAGCCTGCCAGCCGCCTTCAGGTGGACAAGCAGGGCCGCCACTTGGTATTCAGAAGCAAGAATCAAGAAGCTTCCAGAAACTCCCAGATCGCTGATTGTTAGTGTAGAGTTATTTCCTGTGGGGAGGCCTCTATGCTCAGCCGTAAGCCAGCGAGCTTGTCTTGTGAGGTCTCGCACGGCTTAAGTCCGGAAGACTAAGGATATCTCATTCAGGACCATGGCTTCCGATGGCTGGAGAGTTTCCCCACACTGCCTGCTGACGCACCGCGTGCAGCGCGCAGCGCCGTGGTTAGTGAGGCCTGCCATAAGATGGACTTGTGCGGATTTTAGGTTAAGTGTTTTGATCACCCCTGTTGCGAGCTCGGCTTGAACTGCGGCTTGGGCAGATGATTTCAGTGTAGTCTGATCCAGAATCCACAGTTTGAACGTGGGCTCACGCTGAAAGGCTTGCCAGGCTTGCTCACCTCCAACTTCGCCAGATATAGATGATAGCGAGAACACATTGTGCTGATATTATAGTGCCTGTCATACAACGGATGCGATAACTTTTGACTCCCCGCCTGGAAATACTGTTGGTGTCCTGACTACTATCATCAGTGTTTGCTGTTCGCCTACCATGAGGGAGGGCTATCAAGTGCACCGGTATTTTGACTGCTCCGGCAAAAGTCGCTGCCAATGCCATCATTTGACCGCCATGTTTCTGCCGGAATGGGAATAGATTCTCAAAGTGTTGCTGCAAACCCAACAATAGTATTCCAGGGCAAAAGGCTAATGTTGGATCCTGATTAGTGTGGGGGGGACCCGCCCCCCCCCACCGGCCTCCCCCCAAACACAAATGGGACCCTATTTAGTGAAGGGGGGGGCCCCCCGCAAACGATCCATGGTTTTTAGGTTTTTTGGTTAAATTTCAATAGGAAGAATCAGCCAAATCTGGATTGTAGGATTTTTACTTGAAATAGAATAGGATTCTATTGACTTTTACTCAGAATTATTTTCCTGGCCGCGCAACTTCGCACAATTAGGGGACCCCAAATGAATCTAGGGGGTGCTGAGTAACTTCGGCGAAACTTCGCACAATTAGGGAACCCCACACTAATCGGGATTCGACATTAAGGCGTTTTGAGTTTAAAGCTGCTTAACTTGTTTTATACCATTTTTTCAAACAATGAATCTTTGCTGGGGGCTTTGTAGAGCTAATCTGGGTTCTGTAGCCTGAGATTGCAGGAGGCGGCTTTCCTCTCAGAGCTCCAGGAGCTCACGACGTTGCACTTGGCCCTCCCCTGCGGCCTGCTGCAAGGATCCCGTCTTGCAGGGATAGCGTTGAGTACAGCACCTGAGGACTGTTTGGGGTACCAAAACGGTACCCTAATTTTGACGAAGGGTACCCTTACTTGAGGAAGCTAACCACCTTTCGAAGAGCATCTCCAAGATTATCGAGCTCCGAAGGAAGATGTGCACAATTTCTGGCACTGCCCAACTCTGCCCACATGCTAGGTGTTTGTGTTTCTGGCTTGAGCTTGATTTCCCTGATCCCTGAGTTCTTCTTTACATTTCTGGGGGAGTAAAGGGATCCATTCCTCCATTCCCTATCATAAGTTGGCCACCCACAGCAGCGACGAAGCCATCCTTCATCTTTTCACAAATGAGGGTCCCCCTTGTCTTACTGGGGGTTAGTACGGCATAACGGAATATTATCCCCATATAATAAATGGTTAAGCCCGTATTCCCTACTAGCCCCCATCAACTTCTTACTCTCAGACAGTATCCGTGCTTTACGGAAATATTTCGGAACTGCCGCACGAAGCCAGGAGCAATATTGGTGCAAGCGCGACCAGCGCTTTTTGCTCAAATGATGTTTCCAAAATCAGACAAGCTTTAATTAATCAACATAGACCCTGATCTCCCCAAAAGCCCTCGACAAACCAATAGGCCTTTCAGAACAAGCTACACCCAAAAGCCTCAGACCCCTTGCCACGGCCAGAAGCCTTGTAGGCCACCATGCCTTTTCCGAGAAACTCTCATCCTAAACTGTATGCTCTTTATCCCTATAGCCCCAAAGTCCAGAGCCCCGCCCCTAAATCCTAAACCCTCAGGAGCCCTCTTCGGTTTAGGCCTCGAGCGTCGCGTCTTTGCCGAGACGACGCCCCCCTCGGTGACCTTTACGGTGGCCCAGGCATACAGAGCCAGATCAATGCCAATAATACAGATTACCACAAGACTATAGCAATAATGTTAATGAGAAGAATAAAAGGGGCTTCGTAGGCGTGTTCTCCTTCGTAGGAGAGAGACATTCTTTGCAGGAATGCTGGTAGAGAAAATGTAACATATCGGATGGAAATCTGGCCATCCTCCACAAAGTACCCTCCAGTTGTGCAAGCTTTTGGGCTCTAGTGATGTTTCTGTAAGCTGCCTCTGAGACCCTTTGGAATAGAACGGGGCCCTTCTTGAACTGGCTCCTTTGCCTCTATGTTTTCTATTGCAGAGCAGATGGATCTTCGAAGTTTGCATGCCAGGAGTAGAAGCCACAAGATTTTTCATGTATGATTTTGAACGAGCCTTCGCCTGCACTCATGATGGTCTTATCAATGGAATGGGTCCTTTGCCGCTACAGTTGTCTTTTGAAGACGCTGGGACTCGAAGGCACCAGAAGGCATGTTGGAAGGCAGGAAGCGCTTGAGAAGCTCCCTAACATTAAAGAATTTCTCGGCATGTTGTAGTTCGCAACCCTGACCGAGAACCAGCTACAAGCACAAATCTAGCAAGCTGCGTCATCTTTGGCATCTAGGCGTCGTCACCGCCTACGGCTCCTAGTGCAGACGCCCCTGGCAACAGTGAGGCTGCTGTGAATCTGTAGTGCTTGCAGCAAAGTGATAACACGGTGACGATTGGATGTATGGATGTAATTCCCTTTCGGGAGACATTGTCAGAGCAATTCAACTACACAAGGCCATGCAGATGCTTAGAGGCTCTCACGAGCCACACGTTTCACCATCCGCCGCAGAGGCTGCTGGGAAGGAATCCCAAACGGCTGGCAAGATCAGATGTCAGAAAAAGGTGACGATGCTGACGAATGGTGATGATGCTGACCAATCGTACGGGGAGTTGCAAACTGCTTGTGATTGAGCGCAGTATGGCAAAATGTCAGCCAGAAGGTTGTTCCAGCTGCAAGTCGTAAGAAGTCGGTATGAGCAGAAATGCACACATGAATCGGGGTTATGTGTGGCGCAGTGTCGCGGGCTCTTGTGGGCAGAGCTGCGACAGGAACCTTCTTGCGCTTGTGAAACATGCTCTTTCTGATCTATTTGTGGAGAATCCAGTGACATGCTTTGCTGTTTCGAGTGCTCCAAGGTTGTGTTGTGGAGGTTGAAAACTTCAAAACTTAAGATTCAAGTTGATTTTGTGCTGGGTTTGGGAGATATGCCAGTCCTTTCAAGCAGACCCCCGCAATGATTTTATCGAGAGCCCATGATGGCGATTTGTGAAGACTGTGAGTGGCCCGGTGTGGGAACGAAGGGGCCACGTTTGCAGATACGACCTGGCACAACTTCAAGCCCGATGTGGTGGCAGAAAGACGCAGCGTTACGAAACACATAATCGTCTTTAACGTTGAAGCTACAAACTTGACTGCCCAGGCGGAGGGAAGAGACGGCCAACCAAGCAGCGAAGCACCTATCGGCCGGGCTCCCTAGATAGACCCAGGGTTCCCCGTACGCGGCTGCAAGGAGATTTTCATTCAGAATGAGAGCAGCAACTGGGTAGTAGTATTTCGACATGAGGTCACGTTGGGGCTTTCTGCGGGGATATGTACATTTCCAGCGAATCAAGCGCAAAAACATATCGTAGCTTGAATGCAATCCCCACAGAGAGCTCCAAAGCCACTTGTATGTGGCAGTTCTTGAGCTCATCCGCGCTTGTTTGAAACGCCTCCCGCAGACAACGACCACACAAGCATTGCGGTTCAAAGCAAAACAATGGAGGAGCTGCTTCTATCTGCGACAGTGGCGTCCCAGCTTGATGAGGACTCCGGCATGACACGATAGCTCCATCCAACATTGACAAGCCACAAAATGATGAGCAGATCTACGCATACAGCTGTAGTCATGACACCTCCTGGTTGGCGTTTGACCTTGTTCCTTAATGCTTGCGCTTGGTGGTGTATACCCCGAGTTTTGTCGGGAAGGTCGTCCTTTAGAATTCTGGGCATCTGAGGGGTGTTACCATGGCATGCCAGGAAGGAACCCTGGAAAACGTTTAGAACATAGGTCCCTCAAGTCAAGCCCCTGCCTGAGGCCAACAAGACCATCAAAGCTAGTGCGCTAAGATGCTACTGCGCATGTTGGCCAGTGCGCTTAGGACGCGCAGAAGGAATGGAACTGAAAATGACAGACTCTTTTGCAGACAACAATTCACGCATCTTCTATGGGCTCCCTCATCCTGAGAGATCCCTTAAAGAAGAAAACCTCGCAGGTCCTCGAGGCTGCGATGAAGGCCCAGGTGCCCCGTAAGCTGCTGGACCGAGCATGGCAGAAGAAGGCAGGGCCAAGCCTCAGGTGGTTACAGCAGGGAAGAAGAAATGTGGCTTTAGACTACGGTAAGGGATTACGCGGGGACCGACTCTAGTCAGGTAAGTTCTGAGCCTGAAAGGGTCCGCATGGTAATCAACTGCTCTTTGAGCGAGTCGATCTTCAGCTTGGGCGAGGGTAGTGCCTGATTGCCCCATCGTTTGCCCTATCAATCTACTAATATACACTATACTCGTTTCCATTTTCTTTTCTCCCTGTACAAACCCAATATACCCCTAATCCCCAAATAGTAGTTTCCTTTGGGTTGCAAAACATGATGGCGCCTCCGGGCGCCCCTTTCCACCACAGGGCGCCAAGTTACCTTTGTGTGGGAATTGTGGCGGGCTTGGGGATGGCAAAGTTGTGCTGAATCGTAAAATAGGCGATTGTCTCCGATCTCATTGTAGTAGTGTATGCTGCTAAAGTACTCATCTGTTTGGCTACACTGCCTTCATCTCTTACACTGCAGCGGTTATGGGTCTTGAGTGACTTGGCAGGGCTCTGGCCTGGTCAAGCGCAAGTCAAGAGCCGAAGTGCTTGGCATTTGCTGTTATGAGTTGCAGCTTTGTCCCTGATGTCTCAAGGACATGCTGCCCTACACAGTCGTGATGCATTGTGACTCCACTTGTCATGCACGTGCACCCTTGCAAATCATCTGTGTTTGGCAAGCCCATGCAAGCCCTATAGTACTCGTGACCGAGATCAGCCCAGAAAAGTAGGAGAGGATCTTTGTTCCGGTGCATGTACAGCAGTGCAGGTGAGTTTTTTCTATATCCCTCGGCCAGCAATAGCAGCAGCAACAAGTACAGGAGTGTGGAGGAGAGTGATTCGGTTCCTATGGTGATGAGCCGCTGGCGTTTTGCACGATGTGCCACTAGCAGCCAGTGTGCCCACCGCGCGCTGCTGGTCCGAAGATGGCAGGCCGCGTCATGGACAGAAATGCATGATCACACTGACAGAAGAAATGCCCTGCGTGCTACTGTGCCTCTGAACTTCCAGCTCTTCTTGAGACGATTCAAAGAAACAACAGTCACGAGCAGTCCACTGGACCTTGAGCCGTGATGGCGTGAACCTTTGGGTTTGGAATTGCTCACAAGCACTATTCTGCAGTATGTAGAGGACTGAGCTTCCACTTTTCCATTTATTCGGCAAGGTAGATCGAGGAGCTTTTGTCACAGTACGACGCAGCATTGGCAAGATGCCGAGACTAGACTATCGAGGACAGCTATATGTAGCATGAGCTTGATTCAGGATTTACACGATCATCAGCGGAGCCTTGCCAGTTTCGCGGTGGTTAGACTGAAGTCTATGGAAGATAACGTTTCAGACCGGTATCACTAGCTGACACGGTCTTCCAGTCCTCGGACTTCATTGCTGCCACCAGACTTATCCCAACTCGGATAGTATCACTCCTATAGTTGCTTTGCCCCGTTGCTTTCAAGGTAGTATCCATACCAAACTTACAGAAGTCACAGTGATGGGGCTGGTGATGATAATCATCATCACCATCATCATAGAGGTGGGTGTGCCTGTGAGTCGTTGCACAGGCTACCGGCCGCCCCACTTCCTCCTTCTCAGCGCAGTTGCTTGACCAAACACTGCGCCTCCGCAAAATGAAGGCCGCAATGAAAGCCCCAGGATAGCAAGCCCACAAGTCAGTGAGGGGGTGGTATAGATGAACTGCTGAACATCTTGTGTTCTTCCAAGGGGCATTTGAACACCCGCCCTGGTATTC